ACAAATTGCAACTATTGGCCTAAACATTTTAAAAAGTGCAAATAACTCACCAAACTTCACCTTCTTCCCGAAACTTGCCCCCACCCTATCGTCGCCTGCCGGCCATTTTCAGGCCACCGTAGCCACCAGATTTTTGCACCAACACCATCTCCTCATCAACCCTTAACATTCCTACACAAATTTCAGCCCCAAAAAACAATAAAATCGAACTAAAATTTATGAAAAATGGACCATATTTCCAACAACTTCTCTCTACCTAAGGGGCGAGCTTTGCCCCTTCCCACTACCAAAAATGGACCATATTTCCGGCAACTTCCGAGCACCAAGACCACCGAAATGGATACCATTGTAAAGCCTTCAACACCCTCTTCAATTACCACCCAAAATCCAGCCATAACACCTAAGGCTTTAGTAGAAATCGGCCTTCGAACCCGGCTGCCTGCAAATTCCAAATCTGCCAGAATCTCATCGTCCGGCCAGCCCCATGATCGCGGGCTACCACTGATCAGTTCCCTATACCACCCAAACGACCTCATCTATGGTGGTAATTCATCCCAAACGACTCTCAAGCAGGTTGAATTTGATTTTCAAAACTGCCCAGTCGCGAAGCTCGCTATCCCGCCTCCGATAAATCCAAATTCCTACGTCGTTCGTTGTACCCATGGTGGCGGACCACCTGGGCTTGGTTCGTCCCCATCTGGCTCACCTTGCCCAGCCATGGATCTTGGTCAATTTCAATCAGGGCTCATCAATTTGTGGATGTTGCGAGAGCCTTGTACGAAAAATTCGAAATGGATGAACTAGATGAATCAATTCTGCTCCAAATCTTCAATTCGACCAACAACAATTCAAATAACATAGTGAACGTGGTGTGTTTTTAGGGGATCCAGTGAGAAATCCATGGCCGGACAAATGGAAGGCTTGCGTTGTATTTGGTGTAAGTGTTTTTGGCCAAATTTTGGTTTTATTTTGTTTTTTTTTTTTTGCTGAAATTTGTGTAGAAATGTTAGGGGTTGATGAGGAGATGGTGTTAGTGCAAAAATCCGGTGGATACGGTGGCCTGAAAATGGCCGGTAGGCGACGATAGGGTGGGGGCGAGTTTCGGGAAGAAGGTAAAATTTTGTGGGTTATTTGCACTTTTTAAAACGTTTTGGCCAATAGTTGCAATTTGTTTAATTATTTTTCTTTTCTTTTCTTTTTGTTTCAATTGAATGGAGTGTAAAATGGTCAAAATATGGTGAAAAGGACATTCATCGCACGGAATGTAATAGGTAAGGGTATAAATGCCAAGAAATGAAAGGTATGGACGGTTTCCAAAATCAACCCCAAAGGTAGGGACGTTTTGTGCTAATTAGCCAAAAAAATAAACACCCTACATAAAATTACAAATTCAGATCAAATAAAACTATCATCTTCTTCACTCTTGAAATCTCAAAAATATTGATAACAGAAGGAAAAAATTATTTCATGTCAATTACTACCAATCGGTAAGTATATTTTCGTATGTTTAATTACGTTATACTGAAATGTGTATGTTTTTTACTCGATAAATTAAGA